CTTACAGCACTTGGTATTCCCAAGCGGTCACTCATCTAGGTACTGACCAAGCTCGACGTTGCTTAACTTCGGTGTTAACGTGATATGGGCGGAAGAGTTCAGCTGGTAAGTGATCTGGAAAATTATTAAGAAAACAGAAAAATATATACTAGATTTTTAAATTTTATTATTTTGTCCTTAGGTGGGTACCAAAGGAGAAACCTGAAAAGAATTATTTTCTCTGGAGGGGAATGAGAAAAGGGGATTTCCCTTCTCTTATCCTGAACATAAACAAAAAAGCAGACAAACAAACGAAACTCAAAATTACAGCGTGGAATTTAAAAAAGAACGAAGATTTTTTTCCTAAATATTAAAATAATATAACAAATTACAATATTTCATAAAATAGGCTTGCACAAAAATTTCCATTTTGTGCGCCTTATTTAAATCAAGGCAAGATAACATCTCATGATTTGTTGCACAAAAATTTATTAAAAAAATATATATAAATGATCGTAAAATATCTACAAGACAATCTTCGAAAAATGAAAACAAAACTTTTTGAAGATAATACAAACTTTGACTAAGGTAGAAAATGCACTTTGAAAAAAAAAAAAAAAGGTGCCCTCCTAATCGTCAGATGTAAATATAACAGAGTGAGCTCTGTTAAATTCCATTGATGTCACGGGGACTTTTAACAATTTATCTTTTATAGAATACGGCTCTATTCGCTCATTTCAGTTTCTTTTTATATATGCTTCTCATGTGGCAACCAAAAATTGTTTTCCCTTTTGGGTCCTCAGCATAAGACGAAAATTTTGTGTCATCTGGTCCTTTTGCCAGCCAGTCACTATCTGTCTTAACAGTTTTTTTTTTCTAAGACAATAGAATTCGTTCTTGAATTGTTCTTAAATTTGATTCGTTCCAGAAATGACTCATTTAATGATAATCTTTTTTTTTCTTCACCTTCATTTAGGAATGATAAAGAGCCATGATCGCCTACGTCCTGAAAGGATATGGCACATAAAAAAGAAAGAAAGAAACTTTTGGCCTTTTTTATTTATTTCTTTACTTTTTCCTTATCTTTTTGTTTTTATTTCTTTACGACAAACCAAAATGGTTTGCCAAATTTTAGCTTTCCATTTTTATTTTTTATTTTTTGAAATAGTGATCTTTTTCTATACATACATTACAAATTAGACTAAGCACAACTAACTATTAATGGATGAAAATTCACTAATAATGTTGAATGAGTTAAAATTTCTCCAACTTTTTAACAAAAAAAAAATCTGAATCTGTCTATATTTCTGAGATGAGGTATTATGTATACCATTTACATTATTCGGACTATTGTCCTCATCTTTGTCGCCATATTTATTACAACGTTTCGGCCTTTCAGTATCTGTCTATATTTCTGAGATGAGATATTATGTACATTATTTACATTATTCGGACTATTGTCCTCATCTTTGTCGCCATATTTATTACAACGTTTCGGTCGTTGTACGCTCCGGTGTTCTTCAGGTGGTTGGAATGTCGAACTGAACCCTTTATTTCGCTCACTGGGGTAGACTGTTCTAGTTCCACGTGCCATGTTTAATGGATGTCAGTTATCAGTTATCTCCTGTTAATTCCCCTCTGAAAGTTCTCCACTGCCAGTGACAGGACCCAAACAGTGTGAGTTCAATTCCCAGTTAAGGCAGTGGAGAACGTTGTAATACATATGGCGACAAAGATGAGGACAATAGTCCGAATAATGTAAATAGTGTAAAAATCTGAAGTTGATGTTAAAAATTACCGCAAAACCTTGATTAAATGATCTATTATGACATGTCTCTAGTTTGTATTTTGATACATTGTATTTATTATCTATTTTTCTAGTTGAATTGTTCATCTGTATTGCATATGATCCATTATTGTACATCATTAGGTTACAATAAAATCTGTATTTTATATGAATACTACCTTATGAAAATTCAGATGTAATAGAGTGGGGAGCCCCGTATCATAGATTTGGTGGGTCTGTATCATAGATTCAGGAGGGCTTGGAAAATCTGATACTCACAGGGCAGATAGAAGGAAAGGGGACAAGGGAAAGCAACGCGTCGCATACTTAACGGGCTTAAGCAAGTGGATGGTAGAACAGGGTCGAGGAGAAATAATAAAATGACAAAATTTATCGAGAGGTAAAAGGGAAAGGAAGAAGTGGAGAACCATGATCACCTACACCCTGAAGGGACATGGCACATAAAAGAAGAAGAATCATAATAATAATGTTGGCAACTTTAATATGCTTGGTACATTATTCGGACTATTATTCTAGTTCCACGCGCCATGCCTCTTCCGGATGTCTCAGTTATTTCACTTTAACTCAACTCTCCAAGTATTTTGGTTCACCACTGCCGTTACTTTGGTATTGAACTCACTACTCTTTGTGTCTAGTCACTAGATTTACCCACTGGGCCATGTGTCCTCAAGGACAATCTATCCCGGTGGCCGAAATAAAGGGTTCGGTTCAAAATTCCAATCCCCTGAAGAAGGCTGGAGCGTATAACGGCCTAAACGTTGTGAATTTGGCAATGAAGATGAGGATAACAGTCCGAATAATGTAAATAATTTAAATAATCATAATATATCAGAGATAAAGACATATATTGGAAAATCTCACACATCCTAATGACGAAGATATGCTCGTTGAGTTCGAATTATTCATCCTTAATTTTGGTGCGAATACTTCACTACTTGTGTTCGTTTTTCAGTCGTGCATTTTTACATGATTAATTTTCTTTGTTCTTTTTTAGATTTTACACCAAAAATAATTAAACATATTTTATTTATTAGATTGTTTAAATAATTTTGTATTTAAAACATTCGTAAAACACGAATCAACTAATGAAATGCAATGTTTATCATATATCAATTTATAAAGAAATAAATACGAAGTTAAACCTTCGTGCAAGAAAATACATAAATTCAATTTCATGTTTTTTATTAAAAAAATCTAATCATTGCTTTTAAAAACAACAAATATTGCCAAGTAAATGAAGGTCACTAAAATTAGCATTTATTCGTTGTTTTAAAACATATTGCATTGTTGATGTTTTATATATTTTGATAATTTTGTAGGTTTTTTTTTTTTTTGGGGGGGGGGGTAATAAAAAGATTTATTTTCACATTTATTTCTTAAGCGTGATTCGCTAATTGCATTTACCTTCTGTTTTCCGTTGTAAGGGAAATAACTCTGTAAGAAAAATAACTGAGTTGCTTCCCATGCGACTGAAAAACTTTTGTTCAGTAAAAGTTCAAAATTTTTATGTATCTTTTCTGAACACTAGATAGATAGATAGAATATTAGTGGTCAATATATAATTATATATATATATATATATATATATATATATATATATATATATATATACATTTTCATGAGGATAGAATCTAGGTAGAGCTCAATGTACAGGACAGAGCAAGAATATAATATAATATAACATAATATATAAGGCTCAGACACTAATATTCCATTGTTTTAGCGTTATTCGCTAATTCCATTTACCGTCTGTTTTAGGTTGTAAGGGGAATAACTCTGTAAAAAAATAACTGAGTTGCTTCTCTTGACGTTGAAAACATCTGTTCAGTAAAAGTTCAAATTTTTTTATGTATCCTTTCTGGACGCTTATAGATAGATAGATAGATAGATAGATAGATAGATAGATAGATAGATAGATAGATAATATTAGTGGTCAATATATATATACACACACACATATATATATATATATATATATATATATATATATATTTCTATGAGGATAGAATCAATGTCCAGGACAGAACAAGAATCTAATCTAATCTAATCTAATCTAATCTAATCTAATCTAATCTAATATAATATAATATAATATAATATTATAAAAGGCTTAAACACTAATATTCCATTGTTATGATTTATTACATTGGAATCGTATTTGTAGGTCTGATGAATTGAATCGTGATTACGATTCCAATGTAATAAATTATAACCATGGAATATTAGTGTTTTAGCTTTTTATATTATATTATATATATATATATATATATGTGTGTGTGTGTGTTTACATATATATATATATATGTGTGTGTGTGTGTGTGTGTGTGTGTGTGTGTGTGTGTGCGTGTGTGTGTGCGTGTTAGCTGAAAAGTCACGGTAAGTTTATTGAGAACGATAAGTGATATAATCTAATAACTGAAAGTGAGTAAAATATGTTCTTGAAATTTTGTTATGCAAATTAATATTTAAATTATTTTAGTTTAGGATTAATTTATGTTATATATTTTAAATAACATATGCTTATCAATTTAAGATTTTCTTTTAAAATTTTTAAAATTTTTTATAGTTGTGTATGTTTGCTTGGTAAAGTAGTAATTCTTTTAGGAATGACGATATATGAAAAAATCCCGGGCACTATTGTATCTGGTCAAAATATAAATCTGCTCCGTGGTTTTTCAAATCTCTAAAAAATGAGTATACCATGATGTAAAAAAGTTTTATCATCAAAATCTTTGTTATTAAGTAGAATGACCAAAGACTTTTTTTAAGGTTATTAAATTATATTTCTATCCTGTTTAAAACGTTCGGAATTTTGGTTATAGATTTTGTTTTTTTAACGTCATCAGGTGACCATAAATTAGTATAAGAAATTTTAGCGTTTTTTTTTTTTTTTTTGGGGGGGGGGTGATTAACACCCTTATTTTGAAATGCTTGCAAAAATCAAATAATTGTCGTATTTTAATGAAACTTTCAGGAAATTACTGTAGAAATGTTTTTTACCAAATTTTGCTAAAAATATTTTTTACATCTGTTACCCACCCACCCACACACTTATTTAATTTTGTATAAATTTTTAATAAAGAGAATTACATTGTGCTAACAGATGGCTAAAAGTGGGGATAAAATCAGCGATTTTTAGTGATTAGAAAAACTAATTCCAGTCATCTTAAATTACTTCTGAAATATTTTGCTTAAATTAAATTTTTATCTTGAAATTCAAACTAAAATAAAAGCTTCAAGAAAGATTTTTCATTTTTAAAAATCCATTTTAAACCTTAGCTATCGCGTTTCTTT